AGACGGGGGAGCACAGCCTCCTGGAGGACCGCGTTCTAGGGCCTCCGCTGTTTGGCTTGTGCTGTCAGCATGGCTACCCCGAAAGGTCTGTGGATATCCGGCATAAATCCGGCCCGGGAGGACGGAGCGAAAGCTAATAACGTGTTATTGCGGACGGGGTCCTTTTGGCCGCATTGCCGTTGCCACAGCAGTGTCAAGCTATATAGGGACCCGGTGTAATAATCGGCAATAATGTAGTGAACCATGAGAGGAAAGACCAATCTTACCGTGCTGTAAATGACACCGAAGGGCCGGCTGTGGGAGCCTATTCGGTTTGTATGGAGAAGAAATAACATCCATGGCTGGAGGGAGTGTTTTGTGTCACAGTAAACCAATGAGTTCAACCACCCCCACCTCGATCTTCTAGAATATGCTTTAGCTTTCTTGAATGTATATTGTCATATGGTAGTTTTAGAGCTAAATACTTGTTACATTTACTTATATTTGCTAATTTCAGCTGAAGGCCCCTGTGTTTTATTACAAAATTCGTTAATTATAATCAGAATAAGGTCAAGAGCATAGCTAGGTTAAATGATAATGTTAAGTTTAAAAAGTCTAAATTTATCATCCATGTTCTATAAGTGTTTGTGTGGTAGGCCTACAGGGTCACAGTGAGTCTGGAGCCTATCCCATAATGCACTGGGCTGAGGAACACCCTTGACGAGTCAGCATTCCATCAGAGAGCACATGCAGTCACACAGAGGGCCCAGAGAGTGACTGAAACCTGAAATACTGGAGGTGTGAAGCTACAGTATTAAGCACTCATCCATCACGCTTCCACAAATTTGTCTTCATTGTAAAACCATGTATAGTACCTGGGGCAGAAGTCTAGCTCAAGCATTTCGGCATTAAATAGCTTTTTTCATAGATAAAGTTTACATAGAAATGACTGAGAGAAGAATCTTCTCAATAATTAAATCCTGTTTCTTTTTTTCCGGACAATATGACAAAAAGAAAAATAATTCTCACATAAAACTGGTGAACTCAAATAAAATGGGCAGTATAGAATTTATCCGCTTATAACTATACGTGCTTTAATAAAAATCTAATTTCAGAGCTATACTGAAAAATGTGCCCTGAGCTGTGGCCCCTGGATCCCCACAGTTTGTGGTTTAAATCCAAGACTGATGGTACGGCAGCGCTGCTGAAAATGGACACCTTAAAAAACACATACCAAATCAGAGCTGAGAAAACAGATATTTACTGAGGTCTGACCGTTAATTAAATGAAAGAGAGGACTTAATAGGAATCTGGATCTGTGACTCAATGGAGCCCTTGTAAGTAAAACACTGGACCCGCATTGATGTAGGCTAGTGTGATTTGGGCATTAAACTGCAGTGGATATTTTCCAAGCAGTATACAAAGGTTATACTGTGTCATTGGTGCTGGCATTCATTGATGAAAAGGCTTTTCAGATACTATCTGTTTTTGACAGGAGTACAGGGAAGGCAGCATTAAATTTCCAGTTTATTAACAGATCCTAAACTAGCAGAAAGGGCAGCCACCCTCCGCAGGGACATCGCACCCACCTGCCATTCTGGCTCTTAAATAGCTACCTAATAGCAGCCGATCATTCAATTAATCGCATTAAGCATCACACCTGCAAATGCCAATGCAATCTCACCAAGGCACGAAGCACCAAACGACACTGAGTCTCTCTAACCTTGTGTATTTGGTGAGCTTCTCCGCATTTTTAGAGGTGGCCGTCGAAACACTAACAGGCCAGCTAATGTTACTGATGCTGGCGATGACAACAGAATGAAGCGTTTGCAACAAATTGACTCACACTAGTAGGATTATGGCAAATGACCTTTGTGAAGTACATCATGCACTTTGTGTGTCACCAAAGAAGAATGTTTTTGATACCTGGACATCTTTGTCTACAGCGGTGCGTTCTCTGGACATGATAATTATTTCAAATCATTTGTGAGTTAATGGTGGCTCCCTCTATCCACTGAGAAAGGGCGACTCGGTGCTTAGCAAATGCCATGCTGTCAGGTTTCCCAATAGTCAGTGCTGGTAAAATGAAAGTATTTCAGTTAGGTCATTTGAGACTGGGCAGACTTGTGTTTGTAGCCATTTTTTGCTTTATTAAGAACAGTCATCATTAGGGAAAAACAGTCTCTTTGGCAGAAGCATCAGTGATAATGACTGTAATGTGAAATAATATCAATGATAATAAGCAAATGACGCATACAGACTGTTCTGCGCAATACAGCAAAACGCTGGATCCCACCTCCAGCTAATCTCCGAAGCTGTGACTTTAAGAGGTGCTGCAGATCAGTTTTACTGAGCAAGTATGCAGTCCAATAAATTAAATATGAATAAATTAAAAATGTACTGTAGCAGAAAATTGCTTGGAAAACAACCACCTCAACATTAAAATATGTATAGTGATGCTTTTCATGTGCGGCAACACGGGATTAGACATCACTGTAAATTAACACTCCTGCCAACCGTAGGCAAGAACTTTTCACTTTTAACAAGGATTTATTAAAAAAAAAAAAAAAAACATTTACTCTGGTGTGCTCGCTAATTAATTTGATATTTAAATGAGATTTTGTATTATAATTGCAAATATTCCAAATAAGAGTAGTTTGAAAAAAGGAGTAGTGTCAACAAAGATTGATGAGGCTTGCTTTGAAAATGCCATCTGTTTGCAGCACTTGCGCAGGGCAGGAACCCCCAGCCTCCCATCGTGAAGAGCTCAGACAGCTGTAGCATTAGCCTTTAGCTACCTCCCTTCCCAGTCACTTTGGCTGCCTTTGTTCACCCCGGCCACCGCCGCGGTCCCCGGGCCAACCTGCTCGCTATTCCGCAGCGCCTTTCCAGCACAATGCCACCGCCACGCTCACACGTTCCACGTGGGCTGATTAATTAACGAGGGCCATTAAGACTGCTGAACGGCATCTCCCAGGTCCCCCCGTGGCGTTTCCCGGCCGAGACGGCGATGCGCAATCTCTCCCTGTCCATCACTGCCACTATAGCCGTTAAAAAAGTGTGGCCCCCGTGTCACTGGACAGATAATGTCCCCCTCGCACATGCTCTGATGATCCTCAGTGCTAGAGCTGCCTTAAACGGGTGGGATCCACATGGACCCACAGAGTTTTAAAGCCCCTCACTGCCCCCCCCCCCCCGCTTCCATCTGTCAGGGAGGTTACTGCAGGGGAAGGGAAAAGGGGTTGAATAGCAAGTTCCAACTGGCCGCCTTCTAATTTCCTCTGCCGTCACGCCTTATCCCAAATACACGCCCTTTCACCGACACCCTGTTCCTCTTTTGTGAGCTTCCTGTATCTCGGCGAAAAGCCTGGGAGCCTCAGCGGCAGGCTTCCTGATAAACCCACCGACGCTGGCCCACATGTGAACCTCCAGCTTATCTGCCAATTAATTATATATTTAGCCCCTTCGCCTTCCATGTTTTCCTCCCTCATCAGCTCCGTGCTTCCAAGGTAATTTACCGCAGGTCACATTCCACTCACACAATTCAATTTGGGTTTTTTTTTCTATCCTGAATTAAAGTTCTGGCGTGAGTAAATGAACGCCATATGCTGAAATCCCATTTCTCTCTCTGACAGCACTTTAACCACGCAGGAGGTTGTCTAAACTGACTTAATGCAAATCCAGCACCCCCCTCCCCCCAAAGCTGGCCAACTGAGGGGCTAGATGAATCACTGCAAAATATTTTATTTTACACATTAACTCCGTTTCCACTATGTGGGTTATAAATTTGTGCCAACACTATTTTTAAATATTAATGATACATTTTACCTAATAGACACATTTTTATCATTTTGAAATGTCAATTCACTAGTCACAGTTTAAATAAACCTCAAAATGGCAACAATGTAAATAAAGACGCCTTTCTAAATGACCACCCCAGTTCTTACAAAGTACTGTACCTACATGGTGGCCCTGAAAATACACTCACTCCGGTGCTCTCTGACTCCCCCTAGTGATCGGCACAACCAGCCTCTCCCGCTATGCATGTCTATGTATGGCAGCTTTTTCCTGTGCAAACTTTTGAGATTGTTGCAGATATGATGAAGTTTCTTTGACGCTCTAGGAGAGCAGCCTAATTGCTCCTGCTTGTGGTGTCTCTGTGGATCACAGCGATGCGTCAGTGTTTTCGCATGGTGCCGTTTACGATGAAAGCCAGCTTATTTTATGGAGTCTCTCATATTCATGGTGCGCCGCTGGGGTTCTGGACACCTGCAAAATGCTTCTTGACCTTCTCTTTCTCCCTAAGAGCCGCACTGCTCCTTTCCTTCCGACGAGACACAGCCTGTCTTTGAAACCATTATGGAGCCCATTACACAGTTTTAAAGCCATGGACTAAATCCCTCAAAAGGGGAAATGCAGTGTGTGATTTGCCTCAATTGGCTCAAGCACAGCACCTTAGCGGACACTGGCCGTGGCCAGTGCTACGGAGACACACAGAGCCCTGTGTCTGCGCGCATTCATTTCAAGGTGCAGAATTGGTGGATTTTAATAGACTCTCTGGTCATGCTTGACTCTCTTATTATTATATGGGCACTGGGGATTATTCTCTGTACAGTGGCAGACCTGTGCTATAACAGCAGAGTTCCGGAGTCTTCCTTTCAGCTTTCTGTGCCCTACCGAATTAGATTAGAGGAATTTTCAAGCAAAACGTGACAAATCAGTCAAGAACCCATCTCTGAATTCACTCCAGTAGAAGATGAATTAATATTTTCTACATATATATTTGCTATTGTTTCATCAAGGGATGTAATTAGGGAAATGAGCACAACAGATGCCAAGTCTTGTGTAAGTAATGGTCTCTATCCTTTTTTTGTAAATACCAAAATTAAAACAACAGAGAAGTCTGATTGTAAGACTTCTGTTATGGATTTGTGTTTTGGTTCAATTAATATCAAAACAGCTGTTTTGAAAATGCAAATTAAATAAAAGGAAACTCATAAAATAAAATCTCTATTAACAGCTCAGATCAAGAATATTTTATAATACAAAACAAAGGCCTGGGCAGCCATCTGGAAACTGCAAGATTGACCCCAACATTAAAGAAATTAAAGTGCTAAGTGTTTTTGCTAAATTTGGTCTGGAAAAATGACATTGAGATAAAATTTTATTCAGTGATTTTTGTCTCATCTAACTCACCAGCTTCTGCAGCAAGCTTTTCATTTGTAATATGAATTTACTAAGTCTGAAGTAATGGATACTTTAATTAAAATATGTAGTCTACTCATAAAATATAGCCTGTATCTTTTATCCTTTTTTCAGAGCACATAAATACTGTCAACCCAGACAACTAGGGAGAGGCCAGCAAAGGCACGGCAAACAATGCCAACTGTACCATGTGATGTACACTGGAATTTGTAACACTACGCGGTCTAGTTACCACTCGTCACATTTTAAAAGACAAGGCTCTCCCTTTTAAGGTCACCATGGGAATTCAGTCTGCATTTGTAGCCCTGTAGATAACTATCTTGAACCAGAATCTGTTATGTGGATGAGGAAAGAAATTGCATGTATTCAATTTCATTCAAAAGTGGAAGTTGGGTAAGACTCTTGCACAGAAAAGAACTAAATTCTGAAGAACAAGACATGAACACATTTGGTTCTATACAGGGAAAGTAGAGCGAAACTGACTGCAATTTGTGCTCTATGAGACTTCACAGCTACACCATGGACTTTATCTCCAGTGGTGTCCCTTTCCTTTGGCACTTGAGGTGGCGGGGGGATTTCTTCCTAAAACCTACGTTGCCTTTTTAGTCGCAGTGCTGGCGGACAGCCTGAGGCACTTGTTCCCAGTCCCGCAGGGCAAGAGGGGAGCCCTCCCTGGGCAAGGTGCCTGCTTGGCGGAGGGCCCCACAGCAGCGACTCGGCCCCCGTTCCTCTCCTGGGGGCCACCGCATCTGCTGTTCATTCGGCCGGAGGCTTTGCTGGCTCCATAGATCTGCCAAGGCAGAGTACTGCTTATCTCAGATGCTCACAAAATATAATATGTTCACATTTCAAGGGTTCCTACGCACTGCTGACAGGTAATTTTGGCACCACCTACTGGTAGAGATAAGGAGTGATTCTTACTCTTCAGTTAAAGTCCCATTTGTGATTTGTTATTCGTGTTCAAATCAAACCAGTTAAATGTATTTTGGTCATATAATCAGAAACATATGCTATATCATTGGAAAATAAAGATGTATCCATCCATTCATCAACTGCTTATCCAAGGAGCCAGGGGCCGAATCCCAGGAGACAGAGCAGATGGGAGGGAACCTCTGAATGCCAGTCTGTCAGAGGGCACCATGTTGGGAAACACACATTGACACAGAGGGCAGACATAGGAACGTACACACACACTCATACAGAGGGTAGACACAGGCACGTACACACTGACACAGAGGGCAGGCACAGACACATTCACACAGAGGGCAGACACAGGCGCGCACATATTCATACAGAGGGCAGACACAGGCACGTGCACACAC